GTAATACTTTGCTGCCAGTATAACCGAGCACATAAATCTAATAGGCCTACGATGCGCTGTGACCTCGGGATGTAAATTTCAGGCAGTAATTGTAATTAGTCCAGACCCTCTCCGTGCAAAGCAGCGAGCAGATAAAAAGCAACCCAGCGAAGTGAGTACCAGCGATTGATAAGAAGTGCAGGACAGAGAAAATAGTTCGTGCATCGCTGAGTCGTGTTTTCCGACGTCTATAATGAGGCCCAGAATTCTGTATCCTAGTGCCAAGTCCGTTTATACGCTCCACACACTGGAATTAAAGCTTGGTAACCGGTGTTAATCTTACATGCCTAATTTTAGAGCTCTTTCCTTCAGTAAGTACCTAACCTCAGCCTGAAAACTTCACCGGAGCTGCCAACAGCATCAGCGCTAATCTGTAAAATTCCACTAGGTCACAGGTTCAAGAAAAATTCAATCAACTGACGTTTGCCTGTTCCCCTAGCCTGCACGATACAATTTGGGTTGTTAACACTTCAGTTATGTTGACTCCTATTTGGGGGTCTTTACGTCAATGCCAGCGATCACAAGCAGTATCATTATCATAGGAAACATAAACTTAAATTAAAATTAAATTATTTGGTTATTCCGTCAAATCACAATGTATTTAAAATAAGAATAATTAAAATAATTAATTAATTGTAAATCGATTATTCGATATGGAATAAAGAATGATATTTTAATTATTTTAATTATTCTTATTTTAAATACATTGTGATTTGACGGAATAACCAAATAATTTAATTTTAATTTAATAAATCACAATATGACGCAACTACACTATTTTATAAACTTAAATGTTTCGGGCAAAACCACGATTAAAAACGGGGTCACTGATTTATTGCAAGGACCGTAAGTTCTGGTACGTTGAGGCTACGCCACAGTTCACGGGCTCAATCCAGGAGACACGACTTCTGGAAGACGCTGTGTTCCTGTTGGACTTGAAGAAGCTTGTAGAAAAAAAAAGTTTCTCAAACAAAAGACTTCAGAATGAGTTAGCGGGAAGATAGTGTAGTTAAGTGATGGTTGTGGAGGGGAGGGGGGCCCTGCGTGTGAGATGGTTGTTGGGGAGGCATATAGAAACGGAGAGGAAAACATGAGAAAGTAATTAGTAAGAATTAGAATTACACTTTACAACATGATGCTCCATTTTTCATATCAGTCAGGAAGTGGAAATAATTTCTAGTAACATTTACAGGCCTGCGAGGGTCGCTCCTTCCCACTTAAGTACGAGGCTTATTTAAGTATTAAGTACGCCTATTCGTGCACCTTGTTTCGAACTTGCTCTTGTCTTCTTCACTTGTCTCGGCGATCTCCTGAGACGTTGTGTTTTTCTGTTACGTTTCTACAGGGAATTCTCAAAACACGTAACAGAGCGGAGCTTAAAAAAATAACAAACAATACGACAGGCCTACCTATTAAATACTGAGATCCTATTCATGATTCGGCCTAAATTTTGTTACGCTTCAGAACGTCAAAACATTTTTAATCAGGTCCAATCACCTAATGAAGACGGGGATTTTATTTCTGCGCGTAGGGTCGAACCACGACCTGCTCAACACGCTCAAACGTATTCTAGATATTAAGTCTGTCTTAGGGTAAGAAGACAGACTCGAAAGGTGGTCTACAAGTTCGATGACATTAAGCGAAATGCTGAGTTGAAGACACTGCTAACACGAGAAATGATTATTCAGTGATATGCTAAGCTTACTTCAACTTTGCAACACTGGCAGGTAAAGTTTACTCTAGATAAGCCATCAAGTTTTCTATGGCCTGGTAAACGTTCTTTAAGTCACAGACAAATTAGTTTAATTCAGCAAAGGAGAAAACGCGCTACATTTCAAAACAATTCTTTAGGTCACGTTTGGCGGCGAAATGGGATCGATTCTAATCAGAAGTAACTTCGGAATTTGGGTCAACAGGCCCGCATATGCGGGCTTTAACAGTTGTATTTTAATTTCTAATGTGGTGCTTCATACAAAAACGTCGCTTCGCCCCAAATGATTAGAAGCCTGCCAGTCGCATTGATGATTCAGATGACGATTACTCCCCCCCCCCTCTTCTCCTTATCGCGGTTGGTATCAGAACGTTATATCGATTAGGGCAGAAGAAATGACTTGCCGGCTTACACAAAAAGACGTTTCGTCGCACGCTGAACGCTGTTGTCGCCACGCTCTTACGACTAATGAAAACGATTCATTAAAGTAATGGCGACACTGGAACGCAAGATAAAATCGCGTCACTGGTAAGGTCGCCCCTGCGCTGAGTCCCGCGGCCACCCGCAGTCGTCGTACGGCCAAAATCGGCGCACTACTTCCCTTCAAGTACAGTTTCCAGCACGATTTTGCGTGTTCCATCTTCAAAGTGACATTAAAAAACCACGATCATAAGTTTACCTGTTATTTCGTATAGGTGAGGAACACAATGTGGGCAGCCATTTTTAAAACAGGGCGTTGAGGTGAATTATATGAACGCAGGAGAAGGAAACAAAGAGCTTAAGAAGCTGCAGGGGAGTATAATATTAAAACGGGGATTAAAATTGCTAAAGACAGGATCCAATAACGCGCTGTTGTCAACGACTAATTCATCTTCGAGTGTCACGAGATAATATTCTGACCAGCTAAGAGACAAGTAGCTTCTCAGTAATAATTCCGCGAATCTATGTAGGTAAAAAGTTAAATATTTAACAACCGCTTTTCCAACAAATCCCTTGGAATGGGGCTCTGTTCAAGCAGTGCATCGGATAGCCGGTAGATTGACTGTTTTACGACGCTGTGCCAAATGTAGACGTGACAGACCCTGATTGCATGAATAATTAACCGGAAGTGTCGCGGAAGGACACAGTTGCCCTATATTTTGAGGCAGGCCCACATCCCAGCGACATCTAAGGGAGATTTCTAGAAACTGGACCATCTGGTCTCCGATTCGAGTCTGGAATCCGAGACTTATGAAACAGGACTGTACCCTGAGGACGACGACGAAGATGGTTCTCGAAACGCTGGTGTTTTCTCCATTAAGTCACCTTACAAGGCCGTTAGCCCGAGAATAATCTATTGCATTCAGTCGCCGTGAAAGCTCCAATTGAGCTGCAAGGTGTTACGAATCTCTGCAACGAACCTAAGCCCCAACATTTTATTCACAATTTGTTTGTTACTAAGTAAAATAACCCAGGTATTCCGAAAATACAAATGACGCAGTCTGTCTGGGCTTGGTACTGACAGACCTGAGCGACGCAATCAGAATGTGCTAATCGCGTTTCCTTATGCCATAATTTTCTACCATTTCTCAAGATTCATGCCCGATGAAGGGATTAAAGAAAGACCACGTACTTGAAAATGTACAATGACCCGTTTTGACCACAAGCGCGGGATTTATTGACCAAGTGGTCCACCTGGCAAAAAGTTGCAGACAGGTTTCCATGTGGCCCGCGAAACAGAGTTTGGAAGCATTTTTCACGTTGACCCGCGTGTCGAACCGCGGTCCCACGGCACAGACCAGCACGAGTTCGCTACCTCTGCCACCAGAGACCACCACCGGTGCTCTGGATGCTGCGATCCCAGAGAACAGTTGAGCAACGGATCGCGTCCTGCGCTGGACCGGCAACCTCCCCTTCACCCCTCCTTCACCCGAACGATTCCATCCCCTCTCGGCAGGAAAACAGATGATAATGCTATGACACGGCGGGGCTGTCCACGCGATGACGTCAGGCGCCGCTGATTGGTCTGTGAGGATCGACGCTTTCCATTGTGATTGGTGGGGGCAACCTCGATGGGCGTGGCCAGTCGCGTCGTAACGCCCAACGTCTTCCTTTTGCCGTAGTAGGGGCCCAGCATCGCGGTCCATTGCCAGTCGGAGAGGCTCCCTTGGAGCGTTGTAAGTCTCCGGGGGGAGTGGCACGACACGAAAGGGGGTGGAGGCTCAGGGTACAAGCTACCCTCAGGGAGAAACTCTCGCGCCTGAATACGAACAATATTTGTGAGCAACAAATCCACCACCACCACCGCACCCCACCCTCGTGAGGTTGGCAAACCATCAAATTGTCTGGTAGCATTCGACGCCCGTCCGCTGCCAGACCGTTCAGTGTGGACCAGCTCGACGGGTCGCGCGGTGCCGTGCTCAAGTGTTTCAGGAGTGGCTGGTTCTGGCTCGCCGACTCACATCCGTGAACTGTCACATGTCCGGACCCAGGACGCGCTCCTCTTCCACAGTGTCACAGTCCTACTCGGTGTAATCCTCTGCAGACAGACCCCCGCTGTAAACAAAAGCCCACAAGACGCGGTCCGAGGACTTCTCGTGCGGAGATCGGGGATACGTGGGGGCGACGGCTTCCCCGTGGCCAGCGCTGTCGTTGCCGGCGGCAGCGG